TTCAGCAAAATAGATTACAGTATGTGATGTGTAAAAATATGTGGGATTCTACAGCCAGAAAATCTAAAAATGTCCCCAAGAAGGGATGGGAAACACTGAAATTTTCAAGCAACCACAGCGGGGAAGAAAAGGAGCACAACTGAAGGAACTTTGTCACCTGGAAGCAGGCACGACAATGGAATTTGAACAGCAAGAGGTTTATGGGGGGAGAGGGTGGGGATGCCCGTGAGAGGTGAAGAAGGAATCAGGTTTGGGCAAGGAACACCCTAGGATGGCAGTGCAGATCTGACCCTGGGGGCAGACAAGCCGGCAGGGGGCAGGATTCGGCAGCGCACCCAGCGGGAACTGGGAATAGAAGATTGTTGAGTAGACACAGCCTGCCCAAATGGCCAGGTGCTAGGATCCCTGACACATGCCCAGATATTGGCTGGGGGCTTCTTAGAAAGTTTGCAGCCCCAGCCCACAGCTGAGGTGGTGACATCTCATTGTGGTTTTGATTTTCATTTCCCGGATGACTAGTGATGCTGAGCACATTTTCGTGTACCTGTTGGACATGTGAATGTCTTCCACAGAGGAGAGTTGTTATTAAAAACCCAGCAAGATTTTGTGAGAATGTGGGGACAAGAGAACTGTAGCCCTGGCTGACGTGGCTCGGTTGGTTGGAACACTGTCCCGTGCACCAAAGGGTGGCAGGTTCAGTTGCTCGTCACAGCATATGCCCAAGTTGCAGGTTTGATCTCCAGTCACGTTGTGTGTGGGAGGCAACCAATCAATGTTTCCTTCACGTTGATGTTTCTCTCTTTTCCCCTTCCTCTCTCTAAAATCAATTAAAAAATGTTTTGTTTTAAAAAGAAGAAGAGAGAACTACTGTGCACTATTGTTGGAAATATAAGCTGGTGTAGCCACTATAAAAAAAAGTATGGAGGCCCGGCCAGTGTGGCTCAGTGACCTATGAACCAGGAGGTCACGGTTCGATTCCCTGTCAAGTTACATGCCTGGGTTGTGGACTTGATCCCCAGTGTGGGGTGTGCAGGAGGCAGCTGATCAATGATTCTCTGCCATCATTGATGTTTCTATATCTCTCTCCTTTCTTCTCTGAAATCAATAAAAATATTTAAAAAACAGTATGGAGGATGCTCAAAAAATTAAAAATAGAACTTTCATATAATCCAGCAATCCCACTGTATGTATGTATGTATGTATGTGTGTATGTATGTATATAGGGAACAGAAATTGGGATCTCAGAGAGAAATCTGATCTCTCACGCTCATTGCAGCATTATTCACTATACCCCTGAAAGCAACCTAAATGTCCATTGATAGACATTGTGAACTATTTTTTAATTCAATACAATGTTCATCTTCCACTTTGCTCTAACGGTTGCATCTTGTAATGTATTGTACTATGTGTGAGGTGCTGGCCCATCTTTTCTAGTGCCATTTATAACTGTTCATTTAGTCAGTGCCAATGGATACAGTTCAAATGCTTTCTTTTTCTTCTATTCACCAATGCAGCACTGTAATGCGTTCATTTGAATTTCTTACAAAAACATGACAGGTTATCATGATATCTACGTAAGCTTAATTGATAATTAAATTAACATTAATGCTTTCAGAATAGTGATATTATAAACTTATTTTTCTAGTCCAGAATCATAAGCATGGACAATTTTATGATTTCAAATACAGGCATGAGCGGAGATAACAAATTTAGTAATAAGATTGGAGCAATAAAGGAAAAAAAGAAAGATTTGTCACAAATGTCACATTAAGTGGAAACTGAAATTTGTTAGGGCAAAACAAAATAGTTATAGAAAAAAATTAAGATATATGACTGTGCATTTGTCAACACCCATACAGAATGGATTTTTTTAAGTGAAGGCACTTTTGAATAAGATTAACATTTAAATGAGTGCATTTGAGTAAAGAATATGGCCATGCATAATGCTGGTGACCTTCATTCAGTCCCTTAAAGGGCTTACACAGAAGAATGACCTCCCCCAAGAAAGGAGAAATTTTCCAACAGATGGCCTTCGGCCTTGAACCACATGAGCTCTTTCTTGGGTTTCTAGCCCACTCAGCTACCCGCAGATTCCGCACTTGCAGTCTTCATAATCAAGTGAACCAGTTCTTTAAATACATCTCTCCATGTGCACACATCTTATGGGTGCTGTTTGCCTGATTACCCTGCCTAATGCTCACTGCATCTCACAGCATTACCGCGTGGGAAGCCCCAGCGCCCAGCTCCATCATTCTCTCATTCCTGTGGTCAGAGCAGGGAACCTGAGCACCTTCCGGGTTCTTAAGGTCCTTGCTTGGACCTCCCTACTGAAGGCTGTTTCTGAGAAGGTTTCTTTCCAGAAACTGACGTCTCAGAGACTGAGGACCCGGAAAGGAGAGTTTAAAGTTAATCCTTGGAAAGCACAGAGTTGGATGGGCAGAAACTTACCTGTCAATGTTCTCCCTTTGATCCTCTTCCTGGCTCTGGATTGATGCTGAAAGACAAGAAAAGAATGAGAGTCTAGGACTTAATTCTCACTGCTATCTCTAGGCAAGCTGCATTCATTCACCATTCATGAATAATATGCTTTTCTGGATTAAACCAATTAAGATCAGTTGTTCATCCCTGTTACTCATTTTTAACATGGATAAAAAATAATTTTCCATTGTTTCTTCTCTGAAAACTCAAGTTACAAAGGTTTCCTGCAGGAGGTCTTTAGTTGATATTCCCACCAGCAGTCCCTTGCTGAAGGCACAGATTCTCAGATCATTAGGAACATCCCTGCTCCACCCTTGAGCACAGATGGGATAGTATCTGATCAGAGGTTTTCAGAGACTCAGCCCTGCCCTGCAGGTGATGAATATGTTTATTACCTTGATTGTGTTTATGGTTTCACAAGTGTATGCATATGTTCAAACCTATCGAATTGTATCCATTAAATATGTGAAGTTTTGGGAGTATCAGTTACACCTCCATAAAGCTGTTAAAACATAGCTGATGGGGCCATTTATAACATGGTGTATCTGTCTGTTTTATCTACCCATGCTAGCTAGATGTTTAACGATCCATACTACTTATGGTCTTAATTCTTAAGATTGAGTTAGGGTTAAGAGGAAAACTCAAGCACTTTATCATTTCCCTATTTGATTTTTTTTACAATTCCTTTGTTAATGCTAACGAGTCACACCTTGCCCAAGATTCCCAAAACTTTTCCATCCCTGGGATGAAGTTTGAGGAGATGCCAGCTCCTCTTTTTCAGTTTTCTTCTATTTCAATACCATTTGCAGAGCTGCCTGCCCACGAAGGACTGACCAACCCGACCGATTCTCGCTCCAGAGTAAACACATTTCTATTCAGAGCGTGCCCTTCATTCATCCTATCTCTGGCATGATCATGTGTGGCCCAACTGTATCCCTGACTGATCATTTTTTAAAAAATATGATTTTAAAAAATTGATTTCAGAGAGAGGAAGGGAGAGGGAGAAAGAGATAGAAACATCAATGATGAGAGAAAATCATTGATTGGTTGCCTCCTGCATGCCCCACACTGGGGATCAACCACAGCCCAGGCAGGTACCCTGACAGGTAGTTGAACTATGACCTCCTCGTTCATAGGTCGACCTCCACCACTGAGCCCTAACCCTAACCCTAACCCAACCCTAACCCTAACTCAACCCTAACCCAACTCTAACCCAACCCTAACCCTAACCACAACCCCAATCCTAACCTAACCCTAACCCCAACCCTAACCCTAAACCTAATCCTAACCCTAACCCTAACCCTAACCCTAACCCTATCTCTATGAACATTATTCTTTGTTCCAAACTTTTGAAATGCGGTTGCATCCATCATGACCCTTTGCTTCTAAGTTCTTCAGTGTGGATTTCCTAAGAAAAAGGATAGTCCACTACAGTTATCAACCTTCGTAACTTTAACATGGACACTCTTAACTGATCTCCATCTCAATTTTGTCCCTTAACCCACCCGGAAATTTCCGTACAGCATGTTTTTCCTCCAGTGCGGGATCCATCAAGAATAACCTATGGTGCTACTTATTGTGCTCCTTTAGTGTACTTTACATTGTGTCCTTTTAGTCTCCTGATATCTGTCTTTTAGGATGTTGACGTTTTTGAATAATGCAGTCAATGAACCATTGTTAGAGCTTCTTCTTCTTCTCACCTGGAAATAGTTTTCCTGAAGTTCATTTTTGCTTAAACTTCGAAGGGTATTTTTTAGTTACGGGAGTCCTTTGGCCTTTAAAATCAATCAGGGAGCCCACTGGTGTGGAGTTGGTTTTGGTTTAGGGTTAGGGTTGAGTTAGGGTTAGGGTTGGAAAGAGAGCAAATTGGATAAATGATAAACACTAAGTAAAGCTGGATGAAGGGTATTGGGGGAGCCTTTACCACCCTTGCAACTTTTCTATAAGTTTCAAATTGTTTACTAATAATATAGTTTAAGAAATTGTCCATCTATCAGTCCTACTATCTTGAAATCCCTTAGAGAGGAACAGATTTTTGTTTCAACGGCTGTCATCATCCCACTCACCTCCTCAAAGTAAAAAATTTCCACTTCTCAACAGTTTTATTAGGTTCTGCTTTAGGCAAAACCACTGGGATCTTCTTATTACAACTGTGGTTCTAACATTGTCATGGGCTTTAAGAAATATTGGGGGAAATCAAAGGAAATAAAAATGCACACTACATTTAAAAACCACATAATTAAAAGAATCAGTCCTGGCCAGGTGGCTCAGTTGGTTGGACCATCGTCCAGTACACCAAAAGTTTGGGGTTCCATTCCTGGTCACATACCTAGGTTGCAGGTTTGATCCCTAGTTGGGGTGCATATGGGAGGCAAATGATTGATGTTTCTCTCTCACATCAGTGTTTCTCTCTCTCCCTTCTCTCTCTAAAACATCAATTAAAAAAACGCACACACAACCTCCAGTGAGGATAAGAAAAAACATAAAAGAATCACATTAATATCAAGATTTCAAACTCTTACCTTGTAACATACCAGCTGCATAATTTTGGAAATGTCATTTTACTTATTTTTTTTTCCCGTTTCTTTACCTGGAAAGCAGAGGTAAAAATCCCTCATCACTTGATAAATAGCAGTTATTATTAAAAATACTAACAGAATCAATAGTAGCTCTACCGGACCTGAAATGTCTTTATTCAGAAGATCCCATTTATTTTCTGAGTGCATCTACCCAGCTCTAAGCTCAATAATCCATGGGACACAGTCTTGCAAGCCTATCGCTTGATTCTCCTAACCAAGATAGAGTGTTCCATTTTTATTATTTCTGCAAGTTAACGTCACTGCCCCACAATGCTGACCTGCTGAGGACCGACTCCACGGCGGCCCCACCCCACTTCAGCCTTCGCCTGGTGACCCTCTGGCGAGTCTTTAACCTCAGCCCTTACTCTGACCTTGAGCCCCTCCCAGTGCTGGGTGAGCAGATGCCCCTGAAGTTCTCTCTCTTCCAAGCGTTTCTCCATTGAGATAAACCGGCCGTGTTCTGCTTTACCAGGCCCTTGGTTGACTTTTTGTGCATCTCCCTTATTCGTCATTTCCTCTCTGAAAAATCAATGTGTAATTGTCATTTTCTAACAGGGACATTCTGCTGCCAGCCCTCTGCAGAATAGAAACAAGTACTGTGGGCACAGGTATTCCCCACTCTGCACTCTGTGAATGCATCAGTGTGAACGTGTAGGAGGACATCTATGGCTGCATGAATGTCTGAATTGCATTTGGAAAGTGCAGACGGCCCAGTGTGGGGATGAAGAATGGACCTTACCAGCTTCTTGACTGAGGAGATGAAAATTCCTGACTTGAAAGCTTAAGACAATGAATAAGGCTCTATCATACAGCCCCATTCTATATAATAAAAGCCTAATATGCTAAGTGTCTGGTCGTCCAGTCTGTTCAACCAACCAAAGCGTAATATGCTAATGATATGCTAAGGCCACTCAACCGCTTGCTATGATGTGCACTGACCTCCAGGGGGCAAACGCTCCAACCAATACGTTAGCTTGCTGCTGGGGTCCAGCCGATCTGGACTGAGCGAGAAGGGCTGGACGTGCCCTAGAGCCTCCTGCGGTCCCGCCCCGGCTGGTCAACCTCCCGTGTCCGTCCCCAGCCCTGATCGTGCACCACTGGGTTCCCTCGGCCTGGCCTGTGCCCTTTCAAAATCCAGGACTCCTTGGGGGATGTCGGAGAGCCAGTTTCGGCCTGATCCCGCAGGCCAGGGACCCCACTGGAGCACAAATTTGTGCACTGGGCCTCTTGTACAAAATATTACTTAATGATTATCATTAAAAAAGAAAGAATACAAAGGTTTTGGCACCTGACACACGTAGTCACAAAAACATAACATATAGCTGTGTTTTTGGAGACTTTTTTAAAAGCAATTTTTGTCTCAAATCCATTTTTCCAGGTGTTACTTTTAAGAAATCCTGCAGAGACTTAGCATGTTAGAGTTGCTTATAACAAAAAATCACATTGGGAAATAAGAAAAATGTTTCAAATCACAACGTAGCTGGAAAACAATATAATGACCAATATTTCTGCTCTCTGCCTCCCTTCCCCTGCAGAGAAAATCATCACGTTTATTTCCAGGGAATCAGATAAGAATGGAGCACAGGCATTGAAAAATGCACCTCACAACTTGGGAAGGATCTAAGGGGAGCATTAGTTTAACTCTCCATTTTATATAAGAAACTGGGCCCCACAGGTTTGCCATGGACCACACAGCCCTGCACATTCCACCCACACCTCAGCCTTGTCTCTAATTTGCCTTCCCTTCATGAAGGCCTCTTCCAGGCTTTCTAGAGTAATATCTATGTATTTATTTCTACTTATGTGTATTCCTTCTGCTATATTAAGATTTTTTTCAACTCTAATGGAAAATCCCATTCTTGTTCACCGATATGGAATTTGATGGCCTTTGCATCTACGAGTCCTTTTTTATTCCTTTTCTTCCACCTCTATTTTTTCCAACATTATTGAACTCCCACTACTGAATGACAAGTACTGGGATAGTTGCTGTGGGTAGACAAAGTCCCTGCCAGAAAGGACTCAGAGTGCTGCTTGCGCTACTTTCATGGTCATTAGTGAGGGTATAACCCATCCACCATTTTTGCAATTCTCTTGGTTCTTCTCGCTCTTTCCTATTTGGCATGGAGATGGCCTAGCTAGCTAATACTGGTTGTATGTATTTACCTGAGTACTCATATTGCCTGCCCTTCTCTTAATTCTTAAGTCTGTCCATCCAACTATGTATCCCATCAGCCTGCTGCCTAGGGCAGCAAATCGCCTGATGTAGTATCTGGCCTCGCATGGGCATGTTTAATTTTATCACCTAATTCTCACAATGAGCAGTCTTTTGTCCACAGGGCACACAGCTCTGAATGATGTACAATGGAAACCTTGCCCACAGTGGTTTTTACCCCTGTCCCCTCAGGGATGACCATGTTGTTCAGGTGCTTCCTCTGTCGTTTTTTAAAGCTGTAAAACGAGATTTAAAAATAGTCCTGTACCATTAAATCTCTTCAAAATACCAGAAGAGAATCAGTAAACCTCTGGAAACTTGAGTCTTCGTGTTCTTCATGGTTAGTCTCTTAATTAACAGCTTAGAGATCCCACCTGCTGTCAAAATAATTGTGCTATCCTTTCACTTAATTTTTATATGACCTCAAGGGATTCCCTTTTTGTTTTGTTTTGTTTGGTTTGGTTTGGTTTTTTCCTTCCTGGAGACTCACTGCACTTCCCACATGACTATTCTCATAAAGTGTTTCAATGCACATGTGACCCCAAGGAAAAACAGAAAAGGAGAACCGTTGCTTCGTTAAAACGTGAGAGCCTTTTCGACGGGAGGGGCTCTGAGCGAAGGGAACTGCCTCGTTAAAACTTTGAGCTGTGCTTGAACACATCCTAAAATGATTTAATTGCCTGTTCCGGTTATAAATTATAAGCTGGGGAGTTTAAAGCCAACTCCCATTGACTAATAAAATGAAAAATATTGGGGTAGGCCAGATACTCGTTTTCTTTATGAATTGGCAAGGCGAAATGTTCTTTACAAGTGACAGTTAACAAAAGTTAGATTAAAAAGATGCCCGGAGGGTATGTGATTCATAAGAAGTATGGAATCTGGATCTACCTCCAGATAAAGAGTGCTAATAAATTACACGCACATCAAATGTAGCTGCTGATACAGTCATAAATGTTGATGTGAAACAAAACTCAGAAGATCTGCTTTGGCAGCCTGCAACCTGCAGGCCAGCCTGGCAGCTGTGTCACTCAGACTTAATCAGGGGAAAGAGAGGGAGAGGGAGAGATAGAGACGTTAATGATGAGAATCATTGATTGTCTGCCTCGGTGTATATATATATACATATACATATTTACTTCAGAGAGGGAGAGGGAGAGATAGAAACGTTAATGATGAGAATCATTGATTGTCTGCCTCCTGAACACCCCACACTGGGGATCAAGCCTGCAACCTGGGTATGTGCCCTGACCAGGAATCCAACCGTGAACTCCTAGTTCATTAGGTCAACACTCAACCACTGAGCAACACTGGCCAGGCAAGTCTGTATCTTTTTAGATGAAACCGCAAGAACAGAACACTCTGGGGCTACCTAATGAGAAGGAATTACAGTTCCCTTAAGAGAAATGGATTCTTGGGGAGAAAAGATTTTGTGTAACAGTCCCCCAGAAGGTCAAGTAAGTGATGCTGCTGAAGAACTAGCAAATAATAACAGCAAGAAAAGATGAGCTTAGATGCTTGCATTCATGGTGTTTTAGGTAGACCACAATATTTGCCTACTCCCACTTTCCTTCACAAAATAATATCTGATTTTTTATTTCCACCTGATTAATTTGTATACTTGCTCTTTGCTTTCATCCCCCAAAGTACTCTCATTTTGAAAACTTTGGTGAGAAAATGAACGTTTTGGGGTTGGCTTGGATGTTCACTATATGCTGAAAATCGGGAAAGTGACATGAAATAAAAAGACCCCCCCATTTTGAAACTGGAAAACTGGTTCCCTATCTGCCAGGAGTTAGCTTTGAGACCACTTCCTGTGGAAATCCACTGCCTGTCTCTGCACCTCCATGTTTTCATTTATGACAGGAGGACCCTGGCCTCGGTGACCTGCACACTCCCTCCTAACTGCAAATGGTGACTTCGTAAGCTCCGTCCTTGCACACCCAAGGCTCATTCAAATGACTTCAGGAATGTAGAAATGAGAGAGATATGTCCAAGCCCCCTCCCCAGATTTCCTAATCTAATTTATATAGGGTGGGACCTGGCCCTGGGGAGTTTGAAGACTCCCAGATGGCTGGAATGTGCAGCCAGGGTTGCTGACCACTGCCTCACGCACCAGCTTAGGCCTCCCATTTCTCAGCACTTGTTCAGAATCTCTAACACCCTGTGCAATCGTCTGAATCATCCAATTTAGCATTCCTTTTCCCAGCTAGCTTCGGTTTTCCTTCCCAGATTGTTAATGTTTTTTTCTGTGTTGGTCACTGAGCCAACCACTGCTCACGGCAGGTTCTGGAAATATTTCTGAAGACTGAACCTTTTTATTGTCCATGTTCTTGAATTGCAAAATATGTGTAAGTGTTGATTTTATACATGGGGTTAGGTTTGCTTGGATTTCCATCCTGTCTCAAAACCACCACAACTTATTGTAGTTAGTCTATTACTGAGATGTCTGTGCTAGACTGTGAGCTCCATGAAAGCAGGGGCCACCACCATTCATCTTTGTAATCCCTACCACTTACTACCTAGTCAGACCAAGAGAGGCATTGAATAAATCACTGCTGAATAAATAACTGAGTGCAGGAATAAGTGCGTGGATAAATGCATTTAAATTCATACCAGTGTATTGACTTGGTCATGGAAAGAGAGTATACAGTCATCTGTATCTTGAAGTGGTGTGCGGGTGTGTGTGTGTGTATGGGCATACATGTGCATGTGTGTGCATGTACATAGGTGTATGTGCATGCATGTGTGTCTATATGCATGTCTATTTCAGATGCACCATCACTGCAAGCATTCTTAAGAGGATCCAAAACTTGCTGAGTATTCGAAAGGATCCCTCAGCACCTCTTGGTTCTGCACAGCTGGTAGCTCTGCTCTCTGTAGCTATAGTCCTGGGAAATATGGTATTAATACTGAGTGAACAGATGGTGTAGGGTGTGTTACTTAAGACAGTTTTGCCAGGAGGTAAATTTATGCTTTATAAATGCACTTCAAAACTATGCTATTTGATTTAATCACTTAATGCAAAGACAGCTGCACACTATATTTGCCTTAACTGCAGTTATATGGGTTATCTGCCAATCTGTTAATTATAGTATTTTGAAAGGCTTCAGGAAAACAACAGTAATTATACAGATTGGGGTGGGGGGGGCATTTTTGAAGCCTAAATTCAGACATTCATTCCTAGCTAACAAAAAACTTATTGAAGATTTAGAAAACCTGTTAGGAAAGTGGGAGTGGATGTGATGGTTTTCCTTCTCAAGGGGCTTATGCGTGTCCTCATTCTGCATTAATGACCGTGGACAACTGCGGGGTGATGGGGACAGAGATGTGCTCCCACTGGACACGGCTCCAGACCCTCCTGAGGTCTCTGAGCCAACTGTTCAACTCCTTCAAATTACAAAGAGGAGGAGGAAGGCAAGGAGGATGAAAAAGTGGACGAGGAGGGTCTGCTTTAATTATAAGCACAGTTTTTAATACTTTCCCATAACCTGCTTGCTCCCTGAGCTCTCACTACCGACCTTTTCTCTGTGAAACAGTTGCAGTAATTATTAAGCAGATTGAACTGGTACTTTATCAAGGAAGGGGGCGGGGGATAGTCTGACAGCTTCCTTTTCTTGCCAGCTCCTAGATGCCACATTTGCAGAAGTCTGACCCACTTTCCCTATCCTCTGGGAGTTCGTTCAATGCATTTCATTGCCATTTTGAGAACAAGATTCCTGTGGGCAGCTGTACTAGGTGGGATAAAAGGCTGTACATCAGAGAATTCTGGAAAGAGTATTAGATTACCTGGTCTAACACTCTCATTTGAGCAGTGAGGAAACTGGGGATCCAAGTCCCTTAATTCATTCACTTTCCCAAATTAGTTAAGAAAAACGGGGACTGTGACCAGGGAACCTCTTTTATCAGCTTAGGCCCTTTTAAAATGAACCCTGCTGCCTATGTAGAGGCTATAAAGCAACAATAATGAAACAGAAAGAGCAGAGAGTGTATTTCCTGTCCTGTGTCTAAAGGAGAACCAGTAATGCCAACAGGAGTTGTCCTAATTGGCTGCCTAGGGCCTCCATGTTCCACAGCTTCCAGCGCTACCCACACTGGGAACGGTATCCCGTGGAACTGTGCAACCTAGCCCGGAGGCTGCAAGGCACTGTACCCAAGGACTTTCCCAACATTAACACTGCTAACCCCTGGCGGTGCCAACATCATTCCACGCACTCCACCGAGAGGGAAAGCAGCTCTCAGAGGTTAACGTGCCGGTGTCACCCAGATGATTTCTCGTGGAGTCTAATCCTCAGACTTGGAATTACTGGATCAAAAGGTATTGCCTTCCCAGGAGAACATTGGTGTTCTTGACATCCTCCCCCCCAAGTGGACTAAAAGTACTTACTCCCATTCTCCGAGGCCCTAGTACTGTGTCTGCTCTCCCCAGGCGAGTAGTTTTGTGACTTGTGACTCCCAGGCACAGCCGTTCATCTGACCAACGTCTTCACAGCCAGGTTTTCTGCAACATTCAATAAACCTCAACTGAGAAATGGACAGGAGCTTAGGCCAGGTCCCCAGAGCAGCCATTTCCAGGTGGCCCTGGTCATGCTGGCACACAGGTGCCAAGGTGGGCAGGTGGAGGAGGAACTGGAGAGGGATGGCTTGGATCATGACCCTTCTTAAATCATATTCACCTCATGATAACGGCACCTCAGCTGTGAAGGAGCTGGGAGGTACTTGCATCTTCAGTGGCTCCTAGTACTTCCATTTCCTTGCGGCTCGTTAGATCAAAACTGTGAAACTGGCAAGTTATCTGAGTCTTCATGTTTCAGCTTTGATCCACTTTGATATAAAAAGGCAAGTGTTTTATTAAAATTTTAAAATGCACACCTATGTTTGATCACAATTTTCTTATGTTTCAGGCAATATTTGTATTACTATTCTTTGGCTGCTGCTTTCTCTAAGAAGTTCCTTTTCTGACTTTTTGCCATATCTCAAAAAAAAAATTAGTCATCTTTGAACGAAATAAGTGTATCCTCTACCCAGTTAAAGAAGTTCATACATGGGAGGCCAGCATTCCAAAATTGGAGAAATTCTTTCTGGTTTATACTGGGTATGGCACAGGGTTTTGTGTGTGTGTGTGTGTGTGTGTGTGTACTTCTTTGTGGTATAAAACAGCTATCAGCAAAGTTTCTGCCACTAGCCCAATTACCCATTCCTCTCCTTCCAAAGAATGCATTGTTCCTAGGAGGTTGTGCAAACTCGGGGGAATTCCAGCTTTTTGGAGATTCACAGCCCCACATAAAAAGTTTAGGTATCTCCTGGCATCCTCATTTAACCAGCACTGCACCTGGCAATCCTTTTCTTAGATACTGTGATTTAAAGTAGAAAGAAAAATCTCCCACTGTCATCAAAGTTATAACCTATGTTTGCATCTGCCGTTATCACTGCTGCTTTGGAGAGATTTCTGAAACAAGGGAGCAAAGCCAACTTCATTCAATCGTCTACGAAATGGAAGCCTTCTCTTTTATACATCACTTGTGTTTTCCTTGTGTTTCATTTCATTTTTTTAAAATCTAGTAAGTTTTACTTTTTAAATAGAGAAAAAAACCCAGACCCACTCAAATGTAGCCCACTGATCTTTAGGAAAAACAAACAAAGGCAATTTAATAGAAATAGGATAGTCTTTCAACAAATAGCTGGAACAATGGTACACTCATATGCAAAAATATGAATCCAAACACAGACCCTGCATCTTTCACAAACCATAACTCAAAAGGGGTCATAATCCAAAGTGAAAAATGCAAAACTATATAATTCCTAGAAGATAACATAAGAGAACTTCTAGATGATCTTCAGTTTGGGAGTTTTTAGATGCAACACTGAAAATATAAAAAAAAAATAAGTTGGGTTTTACTAAGAAAAACTTCTGTTTTCTGAAAGATACTGTCAAGTGAATGAAAGACAAGGCATACATATACTTGGAGGAAGTATCTGCAAAATATTCATCTGAAGAGTTACTTGTGTGCAACAGACACAAACTTTAAAAACTCCACAATAAGAAAACAACCCAATTTAAAAATGGGCAAAAGGTGCCTGAATAGATATCTCACCAAAGAAGATATACATGTGGGAAATAAGCATGTAAGAATATTCTAAACATCACATCGCATAAGAGAAATTGTAAATTAAATCAAAAATAAGATATACTACACACTTACCAGAATGGCTAAAATCCAAAACACTGACACCACCAAATGCTGGTGAGGGTGCAGAGCCACTGGAACTCTCCTCCACTCCTGGTGGGGACACAAACCGCCACAAGCATTGTGCAAGAAAGTCTGGCAGTTTCTCACAAAACTGAACTTACCCTTTGCCCTAGCCAGTTCGGCTCAGTGGACAGAGTGTCAGCCTGTGGACTGAAAGGTCCCAGGTTCGATTCCAGTTAAGGGCACATGTCCAGGTTTTGGACGCGATCCCCAGTAGGGGGTGTGCAGGAGGCAGCCAATCAATGATTCTCTCTCATCATTGATATTTTTTTCTCTCTCTCTCTCTTCCTCACCATTACTCTCTAAAATCCATTATATATAGTATATATATATAGTATATATATTCATTTCATTTTATAAAACAACATATATATTATTGTATTTCGTTTCATTTTTTAAAATCTAGTAAGTTTTACTTTTTAAATACAGCAAAAAAGAAACCCAGACCCACTCAAATGTAGCCAACTGATCTTTAGGAAAAACAAACAAAGGCAATTTAATAGAAATAGGATAGTCTTTCAACAAATAGCTGGAACAATGGCAGATATTTAAATTGGGTTGTTTTCTTATTGTGGAATTTTTAAAGGCTGTGTCTATTGTATACAAGTAACTCTTCAGATGAATATTTTGCAGATCATTCATACCCATTTGAGTTAAAAACTTAATGCCCACATACAAGCTTGCACATGTTAGGCAGCTTCGCTCATAATTACCAAAAACTAGAAGAAATCGAGAAGCCCCTTAATATGTGTTTTCATCAACACGGACTCCAGTCCCTTCACCATGAAAAAATGACAACTTTCTTTAGGCATTTTCAAGATGTGTCTTTCATGGGATATGACATTTCTTTGTTATTTTTTAAAATTCTCACCTGAGGATATGTTTCCATTGATTTTTAGAGAATGTGGAAGATAAAGGGAAAGACAGAGAGAGACATCACAGTGAGAGG